TTTTTTTTTTTTTTTTTCAAAATTTCAACGATTAATGCCTCATATACTATTTATTATTTAATTTTAGGAATTTTTATGGGTTTTTTATTTTAATTTATCGTATATTGACTACTACAATTGTTTTGACTCAACTGGAGCGAAAGGATTTCCTTATTAAAGTATGCATTTTTATCAACTACTTGGTAATTAGTCTTGCTTGGAGTTGTATAACATTTCTTATCACTTTTCCTAAAATTTAAAAATTGTCCGTTATAAATGACAAAGTATTAACATAATTACATGAATTCACTTTCTGCTACTTGATTTATTTTACCTAAAATTACGAACTGCAGCTAATGAAGGAGTAAATTTAATTGTATTTATAAGGATTGCGTTTAAGTAGTCAACAAAAATGATAAATATTTGATCAGTTTTTTATTACATTTTAATGAGTATTGATGATGACATCAGTTAATAAGAGTTGAACAGTTAGGTAACAATTAGATTGAGCCAATTATGTAGCAATTAAAAGACATTTCTTGACATTGCATTTCATAAATTTCTTCTAAACAAGAGAACAAGAAATTTGATTTTTGAGTTTCCATTTACCGTACAAGTGCCACAAAGATAATAAATACGGTTACTCTCAATGAGTGCAAATAGCGAAATAAATGGGTACAGTTTTTGAAATTAAACTATGTTGTTATCTTTTTGTCAATTTTTACCGCGAATTTACTATATCGGTGATAAAAATTTAGATGTCCAGTTATGTTTTCAAATATTCATAATTTTAAAGTTACCTTTTACCTACTAAATTAAGATAATTTAATGTTAAAATTTCTAGTTAAAAAATAATTTGTTTCACAATCATATTAAATGATATTAAATTCTTAAATCAATTGAAATTTTTTGAGACTGTTTAAATTATCACAGTCAAATTATTTTGAATCATAAATTTTAATCAATATTTATGTTTGTATTTTTTTTTTTTTTCATAGTGTTCAATATTTTACAATTTTTTTCTCATATTTTCGTTTGATAAATGAACATTTGAATACATTTTTTCTTTAATTTCTGCAATTGTGAATTGTATAACATGGTATTGGTTTTAATATGTAAGTGAGAGTCAACAATTCAGAGTCCTCTAATTGGAGCACGCGCGTGCCTTTCTCTTGAGGCTTGCTATCCATTCAGTTCATAAAGCGATTGACGTCTGTAAACTACGTCCTCCTAAATATTCAAATCTTTTTATTTTTTTCACCTTATTCAACGTTAATAAATGACTTTAACATTTTATTATTTTGTCGGTATAGTACGCTTTTGTTACTGTTTTTAAGAATGAGTTTTTATTCAAAAATTTCAATCGGCCAGATAAAACTTGCAGATGGAAATTTTTTATCTCCAGAGAAATCGGTTAAATTTCACGGATTTAATAGAAAAAACTACAATTCTTCTGCAACTGAAAATGTTTGTTTACTTGGGTCTGTATTTATTATTCATATATGACATTTGAAATATTCAATTTATTTTATTTAGAAATTAATTAAATTAACGTTATTGTTGGTTGAGTTAGTTTTAGAAATTAACTATAACTTTTTTTATTGCGCATAGAGAAAGTATCAAATCAAATAACTGTTATAACAAAAGTGAATATGCACAGTAATTTTTTCTGTTTATTTTTAAACTAAGAGATTTCAGTAAGATTTATTCTGATTTTCTTCGATTTTGACCGTTTTACTGTCAAAAAAGTTTGTAGCATTACAAAAAAAAAAAAATTTATAGACATTGAGCAATTGTATTTTATTACTAAGACCATCAACTATTATAATATATCGTTAATTTATTATTTACTCGAGCCAAAATAATGTTTTTTATATACTAAATAAATAACAAAGTAATTTTTCGCATTAAAAAACACATTTATAATTCTTCCAAACAATGTTCTAAGTGCATTTACAATAATTCGGTTGAACGATATTCAGTTAAATGTATTTTTCACCCCATTACATCTACTTTTCTCAAAATTTATCTAAAATAGAATAATTCAAAAACAAAAAAAAAAAATGTTCTTAAAACAATTTTTCGATATTTTATGGTCAAAAATAGGTAAAGCTGCGGTTCTAAATGATAACTCAAATTTTTGGATAACTAATTTAAAAAATGAATCAAGTATTTTATGGAACGTGTATTCATCCGTAATCTACACCGCATGAATATAAGACCCTTAAATCTACGAAGCGTGAATGTAAGGGCCGTTATTTTTACGCGGTATGAATTTATCAAGATTTTTTTTTAATAAATAACAATTTTTTTCTTTTTTCATTAAAAGACTTTTTCAAAATAAGCTAGGATAAATTGTATACCTATTTTTTGTTTTTCGTAAATAAAAATCTTTTAAATATCTTCAAAACACCTTTGTATAGGAGAAATTAAGAAAAAAATTCAAAAATGTTTATAATTTTTTATTTAATTATTTGTAAAGCGGTATAAATCTTTAAATTAGCTATACTTGTGTAGTGATTTATTTTAGTTTGGAATAATTTTTAAATCAGCAAAACGAAGAAGTATACATCGTGCAGTGATTTATCACTAAACAGCACCTGTGAATAAATCATTTCGAGCATATATTCTTGAATGAGTAAAATTTCGAGATGTTTGTCTTAGGCTTATAAGGAATTCCAATAGTCGCGCTTGGGATAAATAATTGACGTGTTCAAATTTCTATAATATTTTGGTTTTATGTGTCGATTATGAATAATTAAACGCATTAAACTTGTTATATTCGATTTCAAATTCTTTAACAAGTAATATGATCTAAAATAGTGTATACAAAAAACTGTAATTCAAGATTACTATAACGATTGTTAACAACCGTACTAATACTACAATATTAGATTTGCTATTACTTGTGTCTATTTTTCTATTGCAATTGTTTTGTTAAAAAGTGGATGTTTTTTATCATTAATCAATTATTTGAAAAACTAATAATTTACATAAATATGCAATATATTTTTTTTACCGTTAAAATATGTGAAACCGCACAATTATAATTGTATAGAAGCGCATGAGTAAAGTAAACGTTGATTGAGTATATTCTTATAGTCACTACAAACCACGCAGATAACTGGTTATCAGTTAGATTAAATAGGTTGTAATTTTTTACTTACTGAGAGAAATACGTTTTGTTGTGCACAACAAGTAAAAGTTGAGATGAATTTAAGAAAAATTAAAGTTAGTTTATTTTAATAATATATAAATTTAACACTTTTAGTTAATATATTATATTTTTTAACGGCGTTTAATTTATCGTAGTTTTAGTAATTTATTTCAAGGTGAAATAATGAACAAAGTATCTGATAAAATTCCACTTATTAACAAAACTAGTCAGGTCGTCGATGCGCTTTGGTATTTACATATTTTTAAATAAAAAAATTATCAACATAAATTATTACCTTAAAATTAATAAAATATAAGTGATGTATTATTCTAGAATTCATAATAACATATTTTCTTACAGGGATATTGATGACGAATCTAACTACAATGGAGCAATGCAACTTGATCAAAGATCTCAAAAATCCGATATTAGCAGAGATATTGCAACATCGGTCAAGATTAAAATTAAGGGGATGAGTTGTCAAAGTTGCGTCCAGAATATTCAGGGTACAATAGGAAAATTAAAAGGAGTTTTAAATATTCGAGTTGATTTGGAAGAAAACGCTGGATATGTTGAGTATAATACTCAAGAAATTTCGGCCAATCAGATAGTAGATAACATTAATGATATGGGATTCGATGCATCTTTAGAATCATCAAAAATTGATGAAGTTAACGAAGTTAATCAATTTGAAATCAGAACCAGTGTGTGTACCATTCATATTGATGGTATGACTTGCCAATCTTGTGTTAATAGCATTATAGGTATAAATTCTAGTTACTATAAATGAAAAAACCAATAATGAATAAATTTATACAAAGTAAATAATTTAATCAATACTTTCTATGTTTTTAGATCTTATATCAAAAAAATTAGGTGTAATAGAAATTAATGTATCTTTAAATGACAAGGAAGCTAAAGTATCATACAGTGATGCCAATATTAGTGCAGATGATATAGCGGCTTCTATTGAAGACATGGGATTTGATGCATATGTTAAAGAAGTTAACGGAAGTGCTATGATCTCAACAACAAAAATAATAAGTAAAGATAAACAAAATACATCTTTTTTATCAGTTAATGGTGCTGGTGACCATAAAAAATCTGAAAATTTTTCTAAGTGTTTCTTACAAATAAATGTAATAAAAAAGTTAATACATTTTTATGTGAGTTTCTATGAAAACTTGTATTAATAACAGAAAAAAATTTTTTTTCCAGGGTATGACTTGTGGCTCATGTGTTGCTGCTATAGAAAAACATTGCAGAAAATTATATGGAGTTGAAAACATTTTAGTGGCACTGATGGCTGCTAAAGCTGAAGTAATATACATGTCAGATAAAATTCGTCCTATGGACATAGCTTCTAGTATTACAGATTTAGGTTTTCCTACAACAGTGATTGATGAACCTGGAACAGGTATAACTGAAGTAGAATTACAGGTACTTATTATAATTATTACAGTGTTTAATCATTTCTTACATAATTAAAAATATAATTTTAATTATTTTTAGAGTAATGTTTATTACGGTTATTAGACAAATGAATCTCACAAGTCTAATAATCTTTATTTTTTGATAAACATTTGTGCTGGAATTTTCATTGGAATCAGTTTAGTTATTAAAAATACATAACAAATGAAGAATTTTAATTAAAGTAAAAGACCCAGTTATTGACACTGGCCTAGTTGTTTGACACTTGCAATTTTCTTCTAATTAAAAAAATAAAATGTTCTCAAAAAACCAATTATCTTAAAATTTATAACTCAAAAATTATATTTATTAATTTATCAGAGTTGATTTTGTTTTTTAATTAAAATAAAATTGCAAGTGTCAATAACTAGGTTTTTTACTTTAGCAATTAAAAAATAAAAAAAATGTAAAAAGTTAGATAGTTTATTACTTTATTAAAGTTTTAAATAAAATGACACTTATTTTTATGAAACAGCTTATTGGGCACGTCAGTTCAGTTTAGTTACTTATTTTAAAAAGTTATGTTTTTGCAATATTTTAGATTCTGGGAATGACCTGTGCATCCTGTGTAAATAAAATAGAGTCTATAGTAAGTAAATTGCCAGGTGTACAATCAGCAGTTGTTGCTTTATCGACACAGAGAGGAAAATTTAAATTTGATTCATCAGAAACGGGTGCTCGAGATATAATTGAGAAAATAAATAAACTTGGCTTTACGGCAACTTTATTTAACAATAATGAAAAAAATAGCCGTGATTATTTAAATCAAAGGCAAGTATTTATTTAATTGGTGCATTGGTTTTTATAATTAATCCAGTAAGTTTATAAGTATACTTAATTAATTACAGAGAAGAAATTCAAAAGTGGCGGACATCCTTTTTTATATCTTTAATTTTTGGACTTCCAAGCATGATAATAATGACGTATTTTATGACAGATATGTATTATAATCACAAAAGCCATGAAGATATGTGTTGTGTTATTCCTGGTGTTTCTTGGGAAAATTTATTGCTCTTTGTATTTTCAACTCCTGTACAATTTTTTGGTGGTTGGCGTTTTTATGTTCAAGCGTATAAGGCATTGAAGCATGGTACAATGAATATGGATGTACTAATTTCAATGACAACTACCATCTCATATGTTTATTCATTATGTGTTCTGATTGTGGCAATTGCAATGCAAGAGCCCACTAGTCCTCAAACGTTTTTCGACACACCACCGATGTTATTAGTTTTCATCAGCTTTGGTAGATGGCTAGAGCATGTAGCTAAAGGAAAAACGTCAGAAGCATTATCAAAACTTTTATCATTGAAAGCTACTGACGCAGTTTTAGTAACTTTAGGATCAAACAATGAAATTTTATCAGAACGTGTTATCAGTGTTGATTTAGTTCAACGAGGTGATGTACTTAAAGTCTTCCAGGGTTCAAAAGTACCAGTAGATGGGCGAGTTTTATTTGGACATTCAGCTTGTGATGAGAGTTTAATAACAGGTGAAAGTATGCCAGTATCTAAAAAACCTGGTTCGATCGTTATTGGTGGATCTATCAATCAAAATGGACCTCTGTTAATGACTGCAACACATACAGGCGAACACACGACACTTGCCCAAATAGTGCGCTTAGTAGAGGAAGCTCAAACAAGCAAAGCACCGATTCAACAATTAGCAGATAAAGTTGCTGGATATTTTATACCATTTGTAATAATAGTATCACTATTAACACTCATTGTCTGGATCATAGTGGGATATACAAATATAAATGGTTTGCCAATATCTTCAGTACATCAAACTAATGGATTCAAAAAAAATAGAGATGAAATTATTTTCCAGTACGCATTCCGGTGTGCTCTTTCAGTGCTTGCAATCGCATGTCCTTGTGCTTTAGGACTAGCAACACCTACTGCTGTAATGGTGGGCACTGGTGTTGGTGCTCTCAATGGAATTTTGATAAAAGGTGGTGCTTCTTTAGAAAATGCTCACAAAGTTAAATGTATTGTTTTCGATAAAACTGGAACATTGACACATGGTACTCCTACCGTTTCCAGGATAGGACTTTTTGTCGATGAAAAATTGTTTCCAATAGCTAAACTTTTGGCTATCATTGGTACTGCTGAAGTCAACAGCGAGCATCCAATCGCCTCAGGTAAATAAAATAACAATCATAATAAATTAACACAATCTAGTTTTCATATATCTATAATAATGATTTTTTTTCCATTCATTATTTCAGCTATAATCAGTTTTGTTAAAGAAACTCTCAATACTGAAGTTAGTGGCCAGTGTATAAACTTCCAAGCTGTCGCAGGATGTGGTCTCAAGTGTCGAGTTATGCATTTATCTACGATGATGCCTTTTGCTCATAAATCTGAAAAGATACTTAATTACGTAAATCAAGTGCGACGCGAATCTTCCGGTATATTTTATTTAAATAATGTTCCAGTAGATATAATGACTTTTCCACTTAGTGATCAAAATAACTCAAATCTTGAGTTTGATTTAATTAATTCTGAAATATCAGATAATCAGAGCGATTCTCAAAATCATTATGACGTATGCATTGGTAATCGTGAATGGATGCGCCGAAATGCTATCACAATACCTCAACATATTGATGTAAAAATGATGGAACAAGAGAGTTTAGGAAATACATCAATTTTAGTAGGAATTAATAATATATTAACTGCAACCATTAATGTTGCTGATACAGTAAAACCAGAAGCGCATTTAGCAGTGTATACTTTAAAAAAAATGGGACTAGAAGTTATTTTATTAACTGGAGATAATCGGAAAACTGCAGCATCTGTTGCAAGACAAGTAATTATTATTAATTTTTCTAATTTTATTCTTTTTGGATTAAAATTAATGTTTGTTGAATTTATTAGATCGGTATCACTAAAATCTTCGCAGAAGTACTACCATCTCACAAAGTAGCTAAAATACGTAAACTCCAAGAACAAGGAGTTAGAGTAGCCATGGTAGGAGACGGAGTCAACGATAGCCCAGCTCTCGCTCAAGCCGATGTTGGTATTGCTATTGCGTCTGGTACTGATGTTGCAGTTGAAGCTGCAGATGTTGTTCTAATGAAGGTTAGTTAACAGTAATGATTATTTGGGAAAAAAAAAAAAAAAAAAAAAATGGACTACGAAAACAGCATATCACGAATAAATTTTATTTTCTATTTCAGAATGATTTATTAGATGTCGTAGGATGTTTGGATTTATCAAGGAAAACTGTATTTCGGATAAGATTAAATTTTTTATTTGCTAGTATTTATAATTTATTAGGCATTCCAATAGCAGCTGGATTGTTCAGTCCTTTTGGTTTTTTTCTCGAACCTTGGATGGCTTCTGCTGCTATGGCATTAAGTTCTGTTTCGGTGGTTGCAAGTTCACAAATGCTTAAATTGTAAATATCAAAGCTTATAATTTTTGATTCACAATTAATGAAGATAATATATGTAATTAATTATTATTGTAGATATAAAAAACCAACAAAAATGACTTTAGAAACTCAAGAATATTTATCTACGATTCCATTGGAACGTGTTACGACAAATCAACGCAGCCGAGAAAATTCTATTATAATAGAACCTTTACGGTCTTCCTCAACATTATCTAGGTAAGTGAAAAAAAAAAAAATAATCCAACTATTAACCACACCTAAACTAAAAATTATTTCTGATGAAATTTTAATTTATCAGCACACTAGCATGATGGCATGAATTGAAAAATTTTTAATCGGTGCGTATTTGAAATTTAACACTGCTTATTTCTATTTTTTTTGCACTTTAATCTCAATTTTTAACCTTTGTTTATTTATTTGCTAGATTATTAATCTCTAAAAATAATCGCTTTATTATAAGTAAGTATTTATTTGTTATTAATTTGAATGTAAAATTATTGATCTAATGTTTTTTATGGCTTTATTGTGGTGTATTCTTAATATCGCTAACATCTTTGCTATTAACTGTTCTTTATTCGTACAACAAGCTATTACCTACTACACACTGTTTTACTAACTAGAGACGCTGAAAAAAAACGCAATTAGTGGAGAAGTAATACTGATTTAACTATAATCATAAATTATAATTTATTTATTATAGATTGTTTGGAACGAAAGATGAAATAGAGGGCCTTCTTATAGACGAAGATCAAGTTGAGTACACAGTAAAAAAATTTTCAAAACAAATGAATACGAATAACAATGAAGCTGTATCATAATGAAATTTTCTATTTTATTAATAAATTTATTACATTTACATCAACATACTTTTGATAAATTGTTTTTGTACTTAACATGCTTAAATTCTTTCGGCAAGTTATTGTATACATATATTTTTCTATTTTTTTAAGTATCAAGAAAATTCTACAAATTACGTAAATTAATATTATTTTATGAATTACTTGTACACGTACGAAAGTAAAATGCTACACTTGTTTATCATCTATAAAAAAAAATTATAAATATTTAAGGAAATAGAAAAGCGACTTTATAATAATAATAATTATTATTATTATTATTTATTAATGTAAAATATTATACAAAACTTTCATTTTTATTTTGAAAAATTTATGTAAATATGTAATTATAGACGGTTTAAAAAAATGTATTTTCAAATAACAAATGAAATTAAAATGGTTAAGACTGAAAAATATTTTTTTTTCTGCACAACTTATTCTAACTTATTGATATTTGTAAAATACATACAATTAGAGGCATATTTTTTTTATTTTAAAGAGGTATGTTGTATTTTGATTATAATAATTTAATTTTAAGGTATTTTAAACTACTTAAAATAAATTGATACAATTATTTAAGTTTTTTTGATTTCAATGATACTGACAATTATAGAAACAAATTATACAAAAAAAAAAAAATTCAGTTGAAAAAAAATTATCTCATACATTAGCATTTCTACTATGTTTTCATAAAAAATATAGATCTTTAACTTCATTACAAAAAAAAAAAATCACCTAGACAATTAGCATAACATTAATAAATTGAATGATCTAATAACATGCTAGGCATTCAACGTGCTCGCCACCATCATAGCTAAAAAATAAAAAATAATAAATTTAATTTACATTTTTAAGAAGTTTTTATGTTACATTTTTATAAAAAGCTTTGACTATTTTACAAAAGTAAGGCTATTCTTTTCGATAGTATATAATTTTTTATTTAATAATTCAGTTGGTTACAAATATATTGAAAATATGAAATCAGTTTTAAGAACGTAGTTAAAAGTTTTTCAGATTTTAGAACATTAAAAAACTAAGAATTTGAAAAGTGATTTTTAAAAATGAGTTGAAAAAATTGATTGAATAATTATTAATTATGATTCTAAGAAAAATAATTATTTTTATGGATCATAATAAAATTGTAAACACCTAATTTTAATCAAATTGAAACATGCTTTTACAGAAATGAATTAATTTTTTCCATTGAAGACTATCCGAAAAAGTTGTGACTCCAAGAACAAATATTTTTGTGTAATTATTAAATTATATAATTATTCAAAGTCACACTTACATTGTTAAGCTACATTTTGAACAAAATAGTTCTGAACATTTGCTACACATGTTTAGGCAATCTGAACAATGAAATTCAATACATAGGAAACAACTGCTATCGATGACACTGTTTCGTTTACAATTCGAACACGGTTTTTTTCCTGAAGGCTATAAGAAAAACAAGTATAATCTATTTAAAATAAATATGAATCATTTTATGCCTAATAAATCAATTTAAAAATGCATAGTTTTTTATTTTTCGAAATTTTAATCAGTCTTTGAATTCGATAGGAATAAATTCCTTGAATTTTTTTTCCAAAATGCAACTAATTTAAAATGTGTTTTAGAAATTTATAATCATGATTCAAGAATATGTCATTTTTGAAAAAAAAAAAAAATTTGCCTGTTATGTAGCTTTTTATGTTGAATTATTTTCTCTGACAATTTGAAGAACTATTAAAAACACAAAAGAATAATAAAATAAAAATGTTTCTGAAAGCTCAATATAGCCTGAAATACTTTAAAAATATATTGTATTTTTTTATGATGCCAAACAGCCACTTACCAGGATAAGTTTCTTACTAACTTCCAACTCAAGATTGTTAGTAAGAATCATTTGTTTGAATTTTGGCAATTCAAAATGATAACCAGCATTTTTCTTATTTTCTATTGAAAGATTAGTAGCATTAGTTATCTTAGGGCCATTTTTCAACATCTGCATAGTTCGATCTATAATTATAAAATATAAAAGAAAAAGTTATTACTTTAATGAGTATTATATATAATGAACATGATAACCTCTTTACCGTAAATTTTTTGTAATTCCTTTTCTTTCTCATCTCTATCAGCCGACTCTTTTAATCCAATATGAATTTTTAATTGAGGAGTAAGATTGTCATCAAATGGACAAAAACGTTTTTTCATTGATTCTTCGTAATTTTGTTTTGATGGTGACGACATGATAATCTAAGCCGTTATTACCGAATTACAAATATGTAAATATACAAAATATCATACCATACTTCGAACCTCTTTACATGGTTTTTTTTTACGGCAGATACTATATTGAGTAGAAATTATATTTGAAAAAAGTAAAAAAACTATTAAAATAATTTATTCGTCTTAATCGGCGAATTTATAACAAAAATTACATTAATTAATGCAATCTCAAATAAGAAACATGTAAACAAATATATTTTTTATTTTTATGAAGTAACAAAAATTGAATCGGTTTCTAAAAAATTACAACCGCACTTTGATCCTGATTGGTGTTTGATTTTAAAATCGAAGACAGCGCGCCAAGGAGCGACTGAATGATATAAAAAAGTTACCCGCGGGGCTTAACACAGCATTAAATCTTTAAAAAGTTTCGCACTCGGTATTTCTTGCTCGATACTCGATAGCGATTTATAGAAAAATTGAGACATAATTACGAAATGTTAAAATATTTTACTGCAAATCTTATTAAGTTACTTGGTGACGTTAAATATTAATTTTTCTCTTACAAAAATGTAAAACCGATAAACCGATGTACCGAGTTACTAGGTTACACTAAGTTACTAGATGTAAAGAAACCGCTACCTCGTGGACGAAAGGTGAGATTGATTACGCGGAATTGATTTAAATACCGTCTACGTATTCTATGAAATTATGATAAGTCGAAAATGATGTAATCAAAATCTGAATGTCTTTAATAATTAATACTGGCTTATTTAAAAGTTTTCCCTTAGATACATTTTTAAATATAAATTGATTGACTATTGAATTAATTCGCCTGCCCGGGTAAAAAAATTTATATCTAATTGGTTATAATTATAGATGATTATATATGAAAAATGGCCTGGCATAATTATATATAATCATGTATAATTATATCCAATTATATATAATTATATGCGATTATATATAATTATATTAATTTTTTTTTCAAAAATGGATAGAAAAATTGTTTTTTTTTTTTTTTTTTTTTTAATTATATTGAAACCAATACGATTTGGAGTATGATGTAGTAATCAGAAACTATTTTATTTGATGAAAAATTCCGAGCGTCCGCTGGGTTCGAACTCGACTCCTCGTGGTTATCAGTCCTGCACGCTGCTCACTGGTCTGAATCACATACTGTACACGACAAAATCTATTGAATATATTTAAATTCAAACCCAAGAAAGATCAGATTTACACATAAATTTTATGAAATTTCTTAAAATCCTATAAAACTTAATAAAAGCAGGACATTTTTAATAGATTGTTTATTTTGACTATTTTTAATTTTTATATTATTTATTTTCTATAGAAAATGAATTGTATTTTTTAATTGAAGAATTGAAAGTTGAACAGTAATTTAAATATGCAAGTAATTTAAATTATTATAAAATTGAATTTAAATCCCTACGAATATTATAAATGTGAATGTAAGTTTGTTTGTTATGCTTTCACGCAAAAAACTACTTAACCGATCATTATGAAACTTTTGTACACATATTCTTGGAAGTATTAGAAGTAACATAGGATACTTGTTATTAAAGAAAAAAAATTATTTTTTACGAAAGATAAAAAAATTGTTTGTCAAAAAATTTGAATCACATTGATTCAGTTCTATTGGAATGTAATGATCTTTAATATTTATCGAAGGACTTCAACGCGAGCGAAGCAATGGGTAAATGCTAGTTAAAAATAAAATCATTTTTTTTATAAACAATTGTTTATAAAAAAGTAATCTTTGTTTTTAACTAGCATTTACCC